CCTAGGCCTCGCTGCTGGGAGAACCGCCCAAAGACTTCAAGATTCCTCTCAACCCTTATTTAAACCTGCACAGCCTTCTTCCTGCAAATCACCTGGGAGGTGAGCTGGTGGGGGGTGCCCCATAAACCGACAGTAGGAAAGGTTGGACGTCGGCATGGCTCCTCAACAAACTATGCCCTGAAAGGCGCAAACAAGGCCAGAACTGAACCTGAGCCAGGCAGGGATCTGTCCATGCTGGGACCAGAGCTGGGCTGCAGACTGGACCGTGTCTCTGCCTGCAAACCTGGGGGAGTAGGGCTAGACTCCTGCTTCAGCTCAGTGCCTTGTGTGCACAGTGGAGAGGGATTGTCACTCCAGCGGGGTGATGTTCGGAGTCTGCCAACAAGCGCCCGGGAGTGCATCTCCAGTGCTACCACCAGGTCAGCCTGGGACCTAGCACTTGGCTTGTTCAGGCGCAGGCCTGCCGGGAGACTCCGTTTGAATGGGGGTGGGGAGGGAAGACTTCACTTACTGACCTCCTGCCACGGGGTTGGGGATCCCCACTTGAGAAGCAAAGTCACTTGCCATGGGGCAGTTGGTGTCCGAGCCAAGAGCAGGAGCAGCTGTCAGTTCACCATGCTGCCCTGACTCGGGTAGCGCAGAGATCCAGCTGTGTTCCCACCATGGGGGACTCCTGAGCTGAGGGATTAAACTCAATGGATGGCAGAGCAGAGGGACAAATGACTTTAGTTTTGCCTCGCGTGTGTTACCAAAGCGAGGCCAGGCTCTATCTCCAGCGCAGTGCTAATCCCCCACAGGGCGACAGTACTCTCTGGGACTGTCCCTCTAGCAGGCATGGGGTGTCCGGAGAAAGGGAATCCCTAGGGCTGCGAGTTTCCAAGGAGAGCTGCCTCTCCCTGGGGGCAAAGGGCCAGGCTGAATGGTGCAGTTGGGTAATGGGACAGCCTGCAGTAATTACCCTTGAAAGGGAGCCAGTGCAGCTGGGCCCTTGGCTATCTGCCCAGCTGCTGTGGTGCTAATGAGTAATGCTCTTCTGCAGGTGGGGCCAATAAAGCATTTAATCTGAAGACTGGAGTGCTCGGCAATGTTTCCAATCCCAGAATCCCACAGCCTGCCATGGCTGACCCGCCACTGCCCTCTTCTGGGCTGGCAGGAGATAACTATGCTTTTGACTATCAGCCGGTAAGTACCTTGGGTCAAGACAGAGCATTAGCCCAGACAAGTGGAGTCCTCTGAGTATTAAAGCAGCAGAGCTGGGAACAGAACCCAGGGTCCTGCCTGCTATTGTCCTGTTTTCTCACTCCCTGGTCAGACACACTCTCGAGTCACCTGATCTTGTGTTGTGGCCTCTGGAAATGCCTATGTAAGAGTCTTGTTTACTCTTTTTTTTTTCTCCTGGAAGGACTTGGGATCCCGAATGTATGCCCAGTCGAGGGACCATGCTGGGCCCATCCTGGGCGGATTTGGACACAGCAGGCATAAGGTAACTTCTGCTGGTATTCAGCTAGGAAGGAGCTGAGCCATGGGGCTGTTCTGAACATGACCAGCTGGGTTCTGATCCTCCCTCTTTATAGGCTACAATGCACTGGACTGGCAGCTCTCTGAGACTCTGCTCTCCCCCGGCCCCCCCATGTGCTCCTTCTGTCTCTGCCTTCCCAGTTCTCCCATTCTTCACCCCTGTGGCTTACGGGGTTAACGTCTGCTATCTGGGGGTGTGGCCTGCAGCTGTTGGGGCTCCCTGGTTTGGCTGGTTTTGAGGTGTGGGAGGAACATTCCACCCTAAGCGCCTCCCTGGGTCACTAGTGGCATGCATCAGGTTATGTGGAGTTGTGCCCTGCGTGAGCCCTGCAGCTCTGTACAGCTTTCTGGCTTCTCCTCCCAGCACCATTGCCACAGAGGCGCCAGGCAGTTGCATGTCCCAGGTGTCCATGGCTGCTCATGAGGGTATCGATAACAAGGACCTGATTTGTGGATCTCCTCAGGGCAAGCTGCCAAGTGGAGAAACAATTCCCAGGCTGGCTAGAAAATCTGTGATGTGTCTGGTCGCTGCTCAGAGAACCGTTGTTCGCCTTGCCCAGAGCAGAATCGGGAGGGAAGTGGGAGGGCTGTTAGGTCGTGTTGGCCAGTGTCTTCCAGCTAACATGCTGGGAAGTCCAGTGCAGACGGGACATACTGTCTCTGTAGCGGGGTCTAGTTAGAGCTGGGGTGGTGGGGTGTTAACTTCACTATCTTCACGGTTAAAGTACCGTCTACCTTGTCAACATTCGATTTCCAGTGTGTTAGACCACACTAGCCAATCCCTAGCCTCACGCCTTTCTATATTCAGCTAGCCCAGGTCTTCGGGGTCCACGGTGACGTGGTCTCACTTTTCCACGAGTCCTGTGGGCCTGCTTCAAGGGGGATCCCGCCCAGCAGCCCCCTTTCCCTGAGCAAGAGGGGGTATTGCGTCCTCTGTGCCAAAGAGAATTTGGTCTCATTGGGTGCGTCTACACTGCAATGAAACCCGTGGCACCAAGCCTGGGTCCGGGTCAATTGACTCCGGCTGCGGGGTGAAAATTGCGGTGTAGACATTTGGGCTCGAGCTGGGGCCCCGGCTCTGAGACCCTCCCCACGGCGGGGTTTCGGATCCCCAGCCCAAATGCCTACGCTGCAATTTTCAGTCCTGCAGCCCGAGCCCAAGTCAGCTGACCCAGGCCTGCCGTGGGTCTTTGATCGCGACGTAGACATGCCCATTGATCTATTTCCATGCTGCAGAGCACGGAGGCACAGCCTGCAGTTCTGCCTCCGGGGGGCTGAACCGAGCCTTGATCCAGCTTGTGATGCGGAGCCGCTTCTCTTCCAGATGTCTTCATCTCCTGGATTTGAGCGGAGCAGCTTGGGGCCACCCCTGCCGCCCTTCTACTCAGGATCCCCAACCTCCTACTTCACCAGTGGCCTTCAAGCTGGGCTTAAACAAAGCCACTTGAACAAAGTGAGACGTCACTTGTGTGTGTGCCAGGAAGGGAGCGTCTGTGCTGGCTGCTAAGGGTGCAGATGGGCGTGGGTCAGCTCGCTCCCACTAGTCAAAGATCCAGCCAGGCGGGCTTGGTGATTCCTGGCAGGGACTGTGGGCTGGGAGGCCAGCCTAGGTCCCAGCCTGTGGTGGCTCCTGCACAACCTGGGTTTTACAATGGCTGTGGGGTCTCCGCTTTTAATCGAAAAGTCCAGGCCTCCGCCTTGCTCTTGTGCTGTCGTGAAATGGAACCGCCTGGCAGCTGAGCAAGCCGGCCAGTTGTAGGCTCTCGAGGCAGCGGGGTGGCTCTGAGAGACGCACACTCAGCTAAGGCAGAGCGCTGAGATGTGACCTGGGGGCCGGTACCTTCCCTCTGGGGTCAGCCAATAGTGATTTAGAAATGGCCTGATATTTGAAGCCCAACCCTTCCTGTAAGAGTCACTGGGCCGGCTCCCAAAGGGAGCTGCTCTCCCTGGAGGAGAATGGGCGCGTTTCCTGCTGTCTCGATGTGCCATTCAGTGCCATAAAATCTGTCACTGGGGTCGCAGGCCAGGAGATGCAGCTGCAGCCCTGTTCCCAAGGGGGTGGGGAGAGGTGTTTGCACAGGATGCTAGCCCCCTTGAGGTGGGAATAGGCCTTTGATGGGTCCCTTGAATGGAAGGTGGCTGTGTTGGGACAGTGGGACTGCAGGGCGCTTGCGGGCTGCACACAGTGCTGTTAAACAGGGACATCAGTGGTGACTCCTCTCTTCCAGGCAGTTGGGATGCCACCTGTGGGCAGTGGGGACAATATCCTGGGCGTGGGACCAAACAGCCATTCCCACAGCTCCCACTCCAAGGTGAGTAGCTCTGGGGACAAGGGCAGAGCTTTGCTACTGACCTGCAAACCCCCCCCCCCCCCCCCGGGTGCTTTGCCAGTCCCCTGATGCTCAACGCCCCACTCTCTCTTCCAGACTCCGATCGGGGGCCAGAAACGGGCCTTCTCCCACCTGCTGCCATCCCCGGAGCCCAGCCCGGAGGGCGGCTACGTCGGACAGCATTCTCAGGGCCTGGGAGGGCACTATGCAGACTCCTACCTGAAGCGGAAGAGGATATTTTAACCCCTTCCCTGCTGAAGCACTATCGTCCCCTCCACGTGTAAATCTGTACAAACTTTTTTTAACGTTAGTCTTGATTTTGAGGTTTTTACGTGTGTGTGAAAGACTTGGCTTCTCTGAGTGGGGAGGGAAGCCCCATGGGCTTCCTGCTGGAGGATGGGCCCTTCCAGTTACCCCCTGCTCCAGAACCAGCACCTCTCTGCAGCACGGGCAGCCAGAGCAGAGGCAAGCGCTCGGAAAACATACTGTATGGGGTAAGGACAAAGCTCACCCCTGTGGCCCCTGTCACTGCTGCCCTCGGGGCCTCCCTGTGTTTCGGGGCCCACAAGGCAGAACCTGTTGGAGTCATGCTGTAATCTGATTGCAGTAACTGGGAATCGACACACAGTCCTGAGTGAGGACAGTAAGTCCTAGGGAGATGCATGTTCCCTGCCTTAAACTGCTGCTTCAGAGACAGGAATGGAACCGACTCCAGCAGGTGCCCTCTGCTCACCGTAACATGAGCATGGAAGTTCTGGTAGCGCAGAGGTGGCGATCTAGGGGGTGGCAATTTGGATACACGTACAGAGTTCTAGTTACGCCGTGGGACTCAGGATCTGCCTGGTTCCTGGTCCCACCCTGCTCAAAGCCTTCGGAGCTGCATCTGGGATGCAGCGCTCCCTGGAGGCTCACGCTGAGCTTGAGGTCTCGGGCCCTGCCTGCCTCTCCAAATTCCTGTTCTGTTTTGTTTTTTTTAAACCCTTCAGATGCTGACATTTTACACTTTTCTTTGGTAATGAGATTTGTAAGTTGCCTTTTTAATTCATGCTTTGGTTTTTATTTCCTTTTTTAACTAGCTAGGAGCAGGAATCTTGGTCCATTGTAAAGTTGCTGAGCCTGGTCATTCCTTTTTTTTAGTTTCTCCCTCCTGGGCATGGACTTTTGTTCTAGAAGTTTCTTTTGGGGTGCGGGGAGTCAAACGTTTTCCTTGATTTCTGTTTTGCTGAGCCTTTCAATAGGAGCCAGCTGCAGCGTGGCAAACAGACCTGCTTTCCCTGCAGCCAGGCAGCCTCCGGACACTGCTTCTCAGGAAGCCGATCTGCCTTTCCCCTTCTGTTGACCAAGCTTGGAGGGTGATTGTGGTTTCGCAATGTCCAACACAAGGCCGCCCTTGTGCTCTGTGTGGAACGAGACGCTCAGTCCTTTGCACCCTTTCTCCAGCTCCATTTGTAATATCATATTAAATGCCGCTGAGCCAATGTAGTAGGATGCTGGCAGCTTTGGGTATCAAGCCCTTAACAGTGTGTGCTGCCGAGAACGGGACTGTTTAATGCCTTGGGACTGAGCCACTAGCCAGCTGAGATAGTCGCGCAGGACGTAGAGTTGCAAAGCAAGCCGGTGTCCAGTGATTGAGAACGGTGCCCTGCTGGCCTCTGTTGAGGGGAGGGTGAGAAGCTGCTTTCTCTGGGGAGGATTTGCAGGTCTTTTTATGTAGTCTCCCCACACTCTTTTGATTTGAGGTTTATAAAATTGCTACCATGTTTCTACTATAGATGCTGTCTGGCTTGCTGTATTTGTGGGGCTTCCAAGCCCTCAAGAGCTGGACATTGCCTTTCCAAAGTAAAGAGAGATTTATATCGAGCCTTGTCTCCTTTCTCTACTTGCTGTAAAAATGTGTCATTTTCTGAACACTTACACTTCCCCTGGAGCCGGGAGCCATTGGCCAGAGGGTGGTCTGGGAGCCAGGCAGACTGGATTTAATCATGTTTCTCTTGGCCATGGCTAAGTCCATGGACACCAGTGCCTAGTCCTACAGACACTGGTATGTGTGTCCATCCAGCTACAGGTTGGACCCTTCAACTTTCTGTCCCCGGGGAGACCTCACTGAACTAACAGTCTGGTGATTCACAAGCCCCATCACTCCAATACTGCACCCTACAACCTCATGGCAGCTTTCAGCATCCAGACACCCCCTTTGCTACACTGAGCTGCATCCCCTCTTGCTTACACAGGAAGGCCTGGGGTAAGCATAGCTCATGTCCAGGGTGCTCTATATTGGTAACTGCAGCTGTGCTGAGCTTCTGTCAGACCCAGTTCCCTTCCTGCCAGATTTGGAATCTGCTCCTGGTGCAGCTGCTGCGACCGAGCTTTCACATCTCTGCTGTTGTGTTTGCTGGGGATTTTGTTCTCACTTCTACTTCATCCCTGCCTTGACTCTGTTTCCCATCTCTGCCCTTTTCTGCTCATTGCTTGCTGCTGTTGAGAGGCGGGAATGCTGCGGGTAGCACCTCTCGTGCTCTGGCCTGAGTCTGGGTTGAACTGGGAACGCGGCTCCATGCGAGCCTTCTGGTTGCTGAATTGAAAAAAGGAAAAAAAACATGTAATGAACTCCCTGTGGCTGACTTTATCCTGATTAACGTTTAGTAGGGCGGGGCATAGGCCCACCCCACGCGGGCTCCTGGGCGACTAGCCACTGCCTAGAGAGTGAGCTTGTGCTCTGCATTGACAAGCCCCGGGGGAGGGGGAGAGAAAGGGTGTAACCCCCAAGGGGAGGGAGTACCCGGCAGTGGGGGTGGATTTAATTAGAAGGGGAGCAGTGGCCCAAGAAGACAAGGTGAGGGTGGCAGACACCAGGGGAGAAGCGGGAGGGGATCTCCCACACTGGAATAGGGGGAACTTCTTAGTGGATTCCGTCAGCTGCTCCCTGCCCTGTGGGTTCTTCGGGGACCCCAGGACTAGGACTGCAGGGAAGTCTGTCCCTTGCAGCTTGCACATACGGAGCCCCTGGGATGGCCGTGGTGGGAAGGAGCAGCAAGACCCATCTCACCTTAACTGCTACATGCTGAGGGGGCTGATGAGGCTTGTCCCTGCTTTCAGCTAATGGAGACAACTGGCTGAGAAGGATCTGTCAGCTGGTTACGTGGCGGCGCATTTCCACTGAGCTCATCTCCACCTTGTGCTACCCTGCAGGCACAGGGCCGGTGCACCTTCAGCCTAGGCCATGACGTCCTCACACAGGGACAGCGCCATGTCAGCGCAATGAATGCAAAACAGACTTAACCTGTGCAAACTGCAGCACTAAGCTGGGGGCGAGCAGGGGTGAGGGCCCTGAGCCCTTCTCCCACTTCCCAGCTGAGTTCCCAGCTCTGCTGCAGCCTCCTTGGCCCAGTTCCTCATCTGTCAAAGGGAGAGGGCACGTCCCAGCTCTTAGCAGGTGCCTTTCGGGGGCAGATCTCAAAGCGCATTACGCAGCAGGTTGGTAACATTCAGCTTTCGCCTCTGGAAATGAGGGTAGAGCAGGGATGTGCTGTGCCCAAGGTCGGGCAGCGAGCCCTGGCACCAAAACCCAGCTCTGCTGCGTGCCACGCTAGCGTGTGATCCGCTGGGGCTCCTGGCCCAGGCGCCCGATCGCTCAGGTGCTCAGCTCCTGGGGTGCTGGTGAGACCCACGTGCCTTCTGGGTGTGGGGTTCTGTCTCGGCTAGTGGCCAAGACCACTTAGAGAGAGAGAACGAGTCTCCTCTGCAGCCTTAGCTAGCAGCCCGTTGGGTTTTAGCTCATGCTGTAGAGCAGTGGTTCTTAACCTGGGGTGCACTCCCCCCTGAGGCGGCGAGATGCCCTTTCTGGGGGTGTGAGACAGGCCAGATTTTTTTCGAAGGTAAATCATCAAAAACACAAATTAAGCACAGGCACGTAAGTACAAATACTTTGTTTCATCAAACCTGTGTGTGTATTAACATGAGACCTTTTTTAACGATTACTGTAACATACAAACAAAAAACACAGGTTTAAAGAACTGACCTACTTCAGCGATTTTTGATAAGGGGGGTGAGAACACAGCTAGTGAACCAAAGGGGTGCAGGTAAAGGTTAAGGATCCTTGCTGTAGAGGTTCATGCACGAAGCTCCAGAGATCCCAGTCCGATCCTGCCCGAAGAGGAGCGGGGTCTATGGGTGTTACGCTGGGGCAGAGGGACCCAGGGAGGCTTGGTCTGATTCCACTGAAACGGGAACAAGGCAGGTCCCTTTGGCCCCAGCGGTGGTGCCCCCGCAGCAGGGGGCAGGGCCGGGGGGGGGGGGAGCAGAATGAGAAGCTGTGGCTGCTGCCCCCACAGCACGGCTGGCACCAGCCCGAGATCCTGCATCCGCCTCCCTGGGCCTCGGCTGGGCTAGGGCACAGCTGTGCCGAAGGGCTGCGGCTCAGCATGGCCCCAGCCCCCCTGCGCCCCTCTGGGTCCCAGCCCCTTGCCCCCCAGCAAGGCCCTGCCCCTCACCACCTCCCTCCTGGTCCCAGCCCCTCACCCCCCAGCAGGGCCCTGGTCCCAGCCCCTCACCACCTCCCTCCTGGTCCCGGGCCCTGCCCCCCACCCCTCCCTCCTGGTCCCAGCCGCTCACCCCCCAGCAGGGCCCTGCCCCCCCACCACCTCCTTCCTGGTCCCAGCCCCTCACCTCCCAGCAGGGCCCTGCCTCCCAGCCCCCCTGCACCCCTCTGGGTCCCAGTCGCTCACCCCCCAGCAGGGCCCCACCACCCACCTCCTGGTCCCAGCCCCTTGCCCCCCAGCAGGGCCCTGCCTCCCAGCCCCCCTGCACCCCTCTGGGTCCCAGTCGCTCACCCCCCAGCAGGGCCCTGCCCCCCTGTGCCCCTCTGGGTCCCAGTCGCTCACCCCCCAGCAGGGCCCCACCACCCACCTCCTGGTCCCAGCCCCTCGCCCCCCAGCAGGGCCCTGCCCCCCACCCCTCCCCCCGGGCTCAGCAGCCACGCCCGTGACCTCTGACTCCGGCCTGGATCACGTGACGTGTGTCATGGCGGCCCCCGTGGCCGGCGGTGGCGGGTCGGTGACTCGCCTGATGCTGGGGGCGGCCGGGGGGCTCCGGCTCCGCCTGGGGCGGGGCTTCCGCACGGCAGGTGGGGCCGGGCCGGGGGGCGAGCCCCGGGGGGGGGCTGGGAACCGGGAGGCCAGGCCGGGGGGGTGAGGGCAGGGGGGGGGGGCTGAGAACTGGGGGGCGAGCCCGGGGGGGGGCTGGGAACCGGGAGGCCAGGCCGGGGGGGTGAGGGCAGGGGGGGGGCTGAGAACTGGGGGGCGAGCCCGGGGGGGAGCTGGGAACCGGGAGGCCAGGCCGGGGGGGTGAGGGCAGGGGGGGGCTGGGAACCGGGGGGCTGCCCAGCTCCCCCCGGTCTCTATGGGGTGGCGGCATTGGGGGCCCAGGCAGTAGAGGAGGGGGCCGGCCCCCCCGAGCGGGACCCCCCCCGTTGGTGGTTCCCAGCCGCGGGCGGGCGGGCGGAGGCCTGGGGGGGAAGCAGGCTCAGCCTCTGGTCGGCCCCGCCTTGGGCCTCCCTGCTGAAGCTGCCATGGGGCCGGGGGGGGGCTTGGACCCCTGTGAACTGGGCTGAGACCCACCAGACTCATGTCACCGGGGGAGCCACCAAAGGGACCCAAATTCTCATCTTCACCCTGGTGGGGCGTGATCGCAACCCGGCCTGACCCTCCTCCGTGCCAGTCGCACAGTGCTGGAGCCAATGGGGCGTGCACGGGGGCCGATCCCGGCTGGGGACAAGGCTGCGGTTTCCAGCTGGACTTGTTCTGCGGGAGCCTGCGTGAAATGCATTGGGTGCCTACAGGACGCAACCCCCTCCCCGCTGCCGGTCAGTGTGAATCCGGCTTCTAATGCCCTTAGGTCTCAGTCCAGCTGGGATTAATGGTCCCGATGTATATATGGGCTTGAGACTGACGCTCGTTCCGTCCATTGCCTATTTGAACTGGGCCCCGTGTGCTTTCAAGCTCCTGCCCTGCTCAGGTGGGGCTGAAAGGCCCCGGGGGGGAGTGATGCGACCTGGGCTGCAATGTGTTTTCCCCAGGGGTGTTCCAGGCGGAAGATGAGAGCTGCACAGCAGAGCCCGCAGGCGACGTGTGAGTACCAGGAGCCGCGGATGGGACTAAGCTCAGGCCCTCTTCACAGCCATTGCGTTGGAGGATTTACGCTGCTTCCTCAGCCAGGATGGTCTCTGTTTTCAGAGGCTGCCAGACATGGTCCAGAAGGATGTGGGATAGTAGTGGGCTGAGCACAGCACTGGGGTGCAGGATGCCTGGGTTCTAGTCACCAACTCCCTGTGTGACCTCTGGCAACTCACTTCCCCTCTTTGTCCCTGGTCAGTAAAACGAGGATCATATCTGCCTCCCTCACCAGGTGGATGTGAACACTGATGTATCCAAATGATATTTCCAGATCCTGCCCCTGACCCTCTGTAGGGGTGCTCAGTGAATGGGGTCCTGGGGGACTCTATAGCCCTACAAGAGTGGCAGCATGGCCATGTGGGTGCAGTGCTGGACTGGGATTCGGGAGACCAAGGTTCCGTTCCCAGCTCTGCTGCTGATCTTGGCCGAGTCTCTGGCTTGCTCTGTGCCTCAGTTTCCCCACCTGTCACATGACTAGGATGACCCTGACCTTGCTCTGTAATGCACTGTGCAATCTGTGGCTGGGAGGTGCGTGGCTAATGCTTGTCAATCGCCCTGGCGGAAGGGAGAAGCACCAGGATTGCCTTGTGGTGCCATTCCAGCTGGCTCGCAGGCTTCCCTGACGTTTGCTATGTGTGCCCCGAGAACTGATCCCCACCCACCCCAGTCAGCAGCCCTGGATCCAGTCACTCTGTATAATCCTGCTAGCCCCCATCTTCCAGTGGCTGCAGGTTCTAGGAGGTCGCTGGATCTCATTGTGTTTCCCCAACACCCCCCTTTCCCTCCTCTAGAGTGAACGTGGTTTTCATTGACCGTTCTGGGCGCCGGATCCCCGTGCAGGGGCGTGTGGGGGAGGATGTGCTCCGCCTGGCCCAGAGGCACAACATTGAACTGGAAGGTCTGTGCCGCTCTGCCCTCCCCTCCCCCATGCTGGGTGGCAGATAATAGGGGACGCAGACAGCTCTGTGGGTCTGCTATGGGCACGGGAGCACTGGAATCTCTTCATTGCCACTCCCTGCATTTCAGGGGATTTGCCAAGACCCCAGAGGGTGGCATGGTGCAGGGAGGTGGGAAGGGGCAGGGCAGGGTCAAGGCTGTAGCTTCTATCTCACCTCCTCCCATGGCTCTTCCAGCTCATGGTCCTCGCACATCCCTCCCTGTAGCCGGACTCCTCTTCCCCATAGGAGCCAGCAGGAGCTGAGGCCGAGGATGAGAGGGAGGCCCAAGAATCCAGAGTGGGTCCATTTGGAGCAGGGGCACTGAGACAGGCAGGCTGCTGGAGGGTGTCCCAGAGCTGGGCCCGGGGACAGGAGGGGGGAGCTGCCAGCGGGAGGGGTCAGAGGTGAGGGACTCAAGTAGAATCCTGTTTGTTCCATGGGGAAGTCTGCCCTCACTGTACAGACACACAGCTGGGCTCCCCCTACTCCCTGGGGGCAGCTCAGCCCCCCCCCCCCCTTTCCACTGCAGGGGCCTTGTCTTCACCCTGACCTTCCACTCTTATGTTCCCAGGCGCCTGCGAAGCCTCCCTGGCTTGCTCCACCTGCCACGTCTACGTGAGCCAGGAGTTGGTGGACAAGCTGCCTGCCCCTGACGAAAGGTAACAGCCTCTGGGTGCCTGGGCCCTGCTGCCCCTCCCCCCGCCCCCACCAGGAGGGCAGGGCTCTGCAAGAGCCAAACACTGTATTCCTCCCCCAGGAGTGCCAAGTGAGCGAGAGCGGCCCCCCTGTGTGCTGGGTGCAGCAGTGGCGTCCCTGCCCCTCATAGTCTGAACAGACCAATGAAGAATTATCTCCATTTTACAAGTGAGGGAAACTGAGGCCCAGAGCCAGTCAGCGCCTCCCCCAGGTCACCGCAGGCATTGCCGAAGCTGTGACTCGAACCCAGGGCTCCTGGGGCCCAATGTTTTAGCCCCAAGCCTGTTCTTTCCCTTTGCAATACTTGCAGGGCGGCTGCCCTCCCCCACAGCAGCAGCTGCTGCTGCATTTCAGGGAAACAGGCCCTTGCAGTCAGCCTGGAGAATGCTGCCAGCCAGTGAACGCCCCCCTGCCCTGCAGGCTCACCCTTGACTCTTCGGCTTTCCTAGGGAGGAAGACATGCTGGACCTGGCCCCACAGCTACAGGAGAACTCCCGACTCGGCTGTCAGATCATCCTCACCAAAGAGCTGGAGGGGGTGGAGTTCACCCTGCCCAAAATCACCAGGAACTTCTATGTGGATGGCCATGTTCCCAAGCCCCACTGAAGGCTGGAGGAGTCTCTGGGCTGCCCGTGGCTCTGGGGCTGGGCCTTGGCCTTATAGAGCCCAAAGCAAGGGGGGCTGGTTGGAGAAGGCTCCCCCTGAGGGTCTGCAGCACTGCTGGTGACACAGAGAGGTGCGGGGAGGGGTTAGTTTTATAGGCCCAGGGTGAAGCCCTGAGCTTCCTACAGGCCGAGGTGGGGAGGGGATGTCAGAAGCAAAGATGCTAGAATAGCCCCCCCCCCCCAGCACCTTTGCTCACAGCCCCAGAGGTGACGTGGGGCCATACAACAGCCCTATCTTTTCTGTTCAGGGAATCTGCATTTTTTGGTGTTGGTTACCAATCCTGCAGCCCGTCCCAGGGAGCAGAAGGAGGGCAGGTTGTGGGGGGCTAGCAGGGGGTGCTCTGCATTCTTCCTGTCTGGAGGTCACCGTTTCTCATGGCGTGCTTTAATATGCATTAGGAGCCTTGGTGCGTTCTCTGTGCCATTTGACGTGGGATGGCAGGGACCAAAGCAGCACGTTCTCTGGGCTGGTCGCTGTGGATCACCCAGTGTCACGCTGTAACCTCGGGATCAGGGCCAACGCCCCTCCCGCAGCCACATTTTATTATTAAAGCTCACGTTTGTATGACGCGCTGCCTGCTCTCTTCCCCGGCCCACAGGCCTGGGACTGGCCACAGGGGCGCAGTAGGGAGCAGAGAGCCCTGCGCTTTCCAGCAGGAGCCAAGCAATAGCTACAGCTGCCCTGAGGGTCAGTGGCACAAGATTTACCCCTTGTTGGTGCCACTACTGAGGGGCTTCAGCGGTTCACAGGCAGCTGCAGAACCCAGACCCTTCCGCAGCCCCCCATGGAGCACAGGGAGGTGGGCGAACATCAGCCAGGGAAGACGAGGGGGTTGCCAGATTGCGCACACACTGCCAGCAGGTGTCTTACTGGGACACGCAGGCGCTGGCTGGGCTGGTGCTGGGGGGGAGCCCCAGGACAGCTGGCGGCTGCTGCTGCGCTCCTCCCTTGGAATCGGTGCTTAAGGGGAGCTGAGCTGCCAGACGCCCCAGATCCCATTGAAAGCCAGGAACCAGCTTTGCAAGCCGGACGCCCATCCAGGTGCTGACTATTTTAGGTTCCTGCAAAGAGAGGATACTGCATCTGCCCCCAGCTGCACCCCCCCCCCCCCCCCGCTAAACTGTTGCTGTCTGGTTGACAAACAGCTGTTGTGTCCCGCCCCAGAGGTGGCTCCATTGTAGTGATGGGGGCAGTGCCCCTGCCCTTTGGAACGGCCTCCACCCTCCCATGAGATGTGCACAACTGGTAGAGTTGGTTTCTGCTGCACCATCTTGCCACCCAGCCCCCACTGTGGGGAAGAGCTGGGAAGCTGGTTGGTCTAGGGGGCTGTGAACAGCCACAGCAGCTTAGCAAGTCATTGGGGGGTCTGACCTGAAGCCTTTTAGCTTTGGTGGCATTTGCAGGGTCACTTTGTCTCCTGCCTGGGGCAGCGGGAATGTTCCAGCCCCCGGGTAGCTCTGTGTCCTGACGGGGCAGTGAGCACCCTGCATGGTTTGGCACTGGTAGGGCAGCTGGTCTGAGACCCGACAGACTCAGTCCATGGACAGTCTGGATTCCTGAGCCCAAGGTCATTCACCCAGCAGGAACTAAGCTGAGTCCCCAGGAGCTGCTCTCCTCCTAGGCTCCTAGCCTCCGGCATGGGGTGGGATGCCAGAGCCAGCCCTGTGTGATTCATCTTGCCCAGCTCTGCCAAGCCAGGCACCCGGAGCCTGCAGGAGACCTGAAACCCAGGCACCTGCCCGTAGGGATGGGAATTCAGATCAGCCCCACGCACTTGCCCCAGGGCAGCTCTTCCCCTGTTCACTGCGTGTAGTATGGTAGGTCTGATGGGCCCCATCGTGCTGGGTACAGCACAGACCCAGTCCCAGAGAGCTCACCCCGAGCCAGGACAGAGGGAATGGGGACCCAGACACACCAGGACTTGCCAGAGCCACCCAGGGCAACAATGGCACAGCCAGGGATTGAACCAAGCCCCAGCTCCCTTGCTGTGGCCTCGGGCCCATCCAGCCGCTCTGCCACATGCGGCACCAAGCGCCCGAGGGGCTCCCAGGCCCAGCGGGGCCCTGGCTGTATGCACAGACCCCCAGGCCAGAAGGGACCCTTGGGAGCACCTAGTTGGACCCCCTGCAAAGCACAGGCCAGAGTGGCGGGGGGGGGGGGGAGAGGGAGCAAATTCGCCCTTGGTATTACTACAGCAGTACCCAGGGGGAGTCCCCGCCCCCACCCCATCCAGCGCTCACAGCTGGGGGGTCACACACAGCACTCACTCACCTGCCAGGTTGCATCTGGGGCTGCCCCACTGACTGGGGGGCAGGGGCTGTGTTGTTAGGCGGGTGGCGCTCACCATCCGCAGCCAAGGCAAGGGGGAGACCAGGTCTGGGTCTCCCCCAGCTAGATGGGGCTGAGAGCACCTGCCCCTAGTATTGGGGGAGCAGCTCTGGGCTCCTCAGCAGGATCAGGGTTTGGCAGAGCTAGACAGGCCCCTGCCCCTGTCCCTGCCCCTCCCCAGCTGCAAACCCGCTGCAGCCCCTAGGGGGGCAGGTGGACATTAACCCCCCCCGCGGCAGCACCCCCGGTACCAGCACAAATAGACATGAGATCCCCTCCTGTCCCCATACACCGGCCAGACCCCTTCCACCTCCCCCCCAGTCCTCCTGCTGCAGCCAGCCCAGGCCCCCCGGCCCTCCCCGCTCTTATAGGGCGAGGGCCCCGCTGCCCAGGTGTGTCCGGTTAAGTCCCCCCAGCTGGGGCTGCTCCTTGCACCGGCCGCTCCCCGCAGCGAGGCTCCCGGCCCGCGCATGGAGGGGGAGCTGTTCCTGGACGGGCACCCCCCCGACTTCTCCCTCCTGCAGCAGCTGCTCTCCCCGCCCTGCCTGGAGCCAGAGCCCGGCAGCCCGGCCCGGGGCCCGGCCAGCCCGGGACGGGGAGCCAGGTCAGCCCTGGGCGCCCACCCCTCCCCTCCGCGCGGGGGAATCCGGATCAGCCCCATGGACCCGTCCCCTGGGGGAGTGGGGGAAGAGACGAGGAATCGGGATAAGTTCCATGGACATGCCTCCTAGGAGGGAGGGGAGATCCGATTCCTCCCCAGGCACCTGCCCGTAGGGACGGATCCGGATCGGCCCCACGTGCTTGCCCCGTGGGGAGGGGGGATCCGGATCGGCCCCACGCGCTTGCCCCGTGGGGAGGGGGGGATCCGGATCGGCCCCACGCGCTTGCCCCGTGGGGAGGGGGGGATCCGAATCGGCCCCACGCGCTTGCCCCGTGGGGAGGGGGGGATCCGGATCGGCCCCACGCGCTTGCCCCGTGGGGAGGGGGGGATCCGGATCGGCCCCACGCGCTTGCCCCGTGGGGAGGGGGGATCCGGATCGGCCCCACGCGCTTGCCCCGTGGGGAGGGGGGGATCCGGATCGGCCCCACGCGCTTGCCCCGTGGGGAGGGGGGGATCCGGATCGGCCCCACGCGCTTGCCCCGTGGGGAGGGGGGGATCCGGATCGGCCCCACGCGCTTGCCCCGTGGGGAGGGGAGGATCCGGATCTGCCCCACGCGCTTGCCCCGCGGGAGGGGAGGATCCGGATCGGCCCCACGCGCTTGCCCCGCGGGAGGGGGGGATCCGGATCGGCCCCACGCGCTTGCCCCGCGGGAGGGGGGGATCCGGATCGGCCCCACGCGCTTGCCCCGTGGGGAGGGGGGGGATCCGGATCGGCCCCACGCGCTTGCCCCGCGGGAGGGGGGGATCCGGGTCGGCCCCACGCGCTTGCCCCGTGGGGAGGGGGGATCCGGATCGGCCCCACGCGCTTGCCCCGTGGGGAGGGGGGGATCCGGATCGGCCCCACGCGCTTGCCCCGTGGGGAGGGGGGATCCGGATCGGCCCCACGCGCTTGCCCCGTGGGGAGGGGGGGATCCGGATCGGCCCCACGCGCTTGCCCCGTGGGGAGGGGGGGATCCGGATCGGCCCCACGCGCTTGCCCCGTGGGGAGGGGGGGATCCGGATCGGCCCCACGCGCTTGCCCCGTGGGGAGGGGGGGATCCGGATCGGCCCCACGCGCTTGCCCCGTGGGGAGGGGGGGATCCGGATCGGCCCCACGCGCTTGCCCCGTGGGGAGGGGGGGATCCGGATCGGCCCCACGCGCTTGCCCCGCGGGAGGGGGGGATCCGGATCGGCCCCACGCGCTTGCTCTCGAGCTGGGCGCGAGCTCCGGGGCTGTTTTGGGCGGGCAGCTCGCGAGCCGCAGCCTCCAGCTGCCATTGGCCGGGGCTGCGGGCGGGATCCCGAGGCCGGCAGCGCCCAGGCCGGGGAGGGGGCAGGTCGATGGGGACCTGAGCCTGGGGGCTGGGAGGGGCCAGTGGGGGGCTGAGGGGGGGCCACCCCTGGGGAGGGGGGGCTGCCGGGGGGAGGAGGAGGAGGAGCTGCCCCGGGGGAGGGGGAGGGTGATCAGACCCCGGGGGGGGAGCTGCCCACGGGGGGGGTGAGTGGGACCTGCCCGGGGGGGCTGAGTGGGGAGCTGCCGAGGGGGAGGGTGATCAGACCCCAGGGGGAGGGGGAGGGTGATCAGGCTTCGGTGGGGGGGAGCTGACCCTGGGGGGGCTGAGTGGGGAGCTGCCCCGGGGGAGGGGGGAGTGATCAGACCCCAGGGGGACGGGGTGGGGGGAAGCTGACCCTGAGGGGGCTGAGAGGGGAGCTGCCCCGGGCGACGGGGAGGGTGATCAGGCTCCGGGGGGGGGGACCTGCCCGAGGGGGGGCTGAGTAGGGAGCTGCCCCTGACCCCTGTCCCCCCTCCCGCGGGCCCCTGGGTGCCCCGCCCCCCTAACGCCCTTGTTCTCCCCCCCAGGCCCGCGGGGCGCCCCCGCCCGGAGCCCCTGCCCATCATGGCCTGTTGCCTGCAGGTCCCCGACAGCAGCGCCCTGAGCTTCCTGCAGGAGTCCGCCCAGCGGCTGCCCCAGGCGCCGGGGGGCCAGGAGGAGCCGAGCCGTGCGCCCAGGGCGCAGCCGCCGCCGGGGCCAGCCGTGCGCCCAGGGCGCAGCGCCCCGCAGCCCCAGGCCGGCGCCAGCCCCCTCGCTTCCCTGGGCACCTGCAGCCCCATGGACACCCTGAGTCTCATCAGCCTGCATTGTTCTCATCTGGTGTCCGGCGCGGCGGCCCCCGCCAGCCGCCCCGAGACGAGGGCAGGGCCCCAAACGATGTCCCCCTGCCTCCTCCCCATAGACTGCAATGGCAACCCCTCCAGAGAGGCCGGGGCGGCCGGGCAGGAGGGGCGGAGCTGGGAGCCAGGGGCCGGCAGCCCCAGCCAGCCTGAGCCAGGCTGCAGGAGGAGAAATCCCCGCAAGCAGCCCACACCCAGCCGGAGCGCTGAGGCCCGAGACCCCTCTTTCCAGGGGGTGACCCTCTGCATGCGCCTGTGTCTTTGCCAAGGCAGCTCCGATGAGTACCAGCTCCTCATCCGCCCACAGTACAGCAGGTACAGGGCTCCTGCCACGGCGCGGGCACTGATCACTGGCTCTCTGCTAAGGGAGACATGGCTTTTCTGTCTGTCTAAAGGACCCACATAGGCACCCAGAGCTAGCTTGCTAGCTACCCCTGTACACACCCAGGATTTATCCATCCATCCACTTGCCAAACAGGCCCATGATCTATCGATCGATCGATCTATCTCCATCATCCCCATCTAATCTATCTATCTATCTATCTATCCATCCCCATCCACCCCCCATCCCCATTCACCCCATCTACCTAATCTATCCTCATCCACCACCTCTATCCCCATCCACCCCATCTATCTATCTATCCCCATCCACCCCATCTATCTATCTATCTATCTATCTATCTATCTATCCCCATCCACCCCCCATCCCCATTCACCCCATCTACCTAATCTATCTATCCTCATCCACCACCTCTATCCGCATTCACCCCATCTATCTATCTATCCCCATCCACCACCTCTATCCCCATCCACCCCATCTATCTATCTATCTATCTATCTATCTATCTATCTATCTATCCTCATCCACCCCCCCATCCCCATTCTATCTATCTATCTATCCCTCCCCATACACATCCACTATTTAGCCATCCCTCCCCATGCACACACCCTCTCTCTATGGAGCTCTCTCCTATCACGTGTTGTGGCGAGCCAGTCACTGTGGTATCTAGGTACTGAAAGCAATAGGAAGGCGTGTCACACCAAAGAGGGCAGGTTCCTTGATTTATGGTTGTTTATTGTGTAGGTGTCTGTGTCTTCTCCAGGTGCTCGAGGAACTCCAGCCCCAACTCCTGCCACCTCTCCTCCAAGCTTCCCCCCCCCACCCAGCCTTTGGATACTGGGGACCTGTCCAGCTCTGTGTAGGGATCCCCTTTCTGCGGCGGGAGGGGGTCAGAGATACTGAGCTGGGATTTGTCCTGACACTCTGACAGTGTGTAATCATAACACAAATTATGTCATTTCCCCATCCCAGCAGAGGAAAGGCTCCATTGTCTCTCCTCTAGTGCTTTCCGCTTACATAGTGATTTGATTTTTGGGGGTGGGAAATCGTCTGTTCTCTGGCACTTTAAACTGCAGCCAGTAGAAACTGACTTAGGACCAGAGGCGTTGCCAGACCTGCTCAGCCCCAACACCCATCTAGTCCAGGATCCAGTCTCTGCCAGTGGCCACCACCAGCTGTCTCAAGGGCAGGTGTAAGAGCCCTGCAGTAGTAGCTGTGGGATAATCTGCTCCCCACTTTAAGTCTCTATCAGAGAGAGGTGGTTTAAGCCCTGGAGCATGAGCTTTACTGTCTCTTCCAGTAATATCTCGTAGGACAGTCTGGTCTTCTCCCACTTCCTAAAGTGTCTGTCAAAATACAACCACCAAACTCCTTTTAAAGTTTTTTGAAGCAGAAGAAAAGAGACTTCACTCTGGTTCTGTTTTCAGCCTCCTTTAGCCTGTAGAGATACGGGGAAATGTTGAAAATCCACATTCGGACAGGTATTGAGGGAAAGGTGTTTTTTAGCCACCCAAGTGTTTTAGGAGCACAAGTTCCATTGACTTTTGAAAGGGACTTTTGTGCCTAAATCCTTTCAGGTATTTTTGAACAGCTCCCCCTCAGTCCTTAGATAGCTGGGGCCTGATTTGCCATTGCCACATTCAAGGAAAACAGAAACTGGCAAATTCAAACAGAGAATAGGAAATACTTTTTCAAATGCAATATGTAACTAGGCCATGGAACACATTGCCATGGGAGGTCACAGAGGCCAAGAATTTAGCAAGATTCCAAGAGGGATTGGACACTAGATTGATAATAAGGATCTCCGGAGTACTAACCGCTAGTGCTAATAACCATTTTGGAAGAGACATTAAACTTCCTGCCTTAGGTCCTATATCAATCCCTAATTACTAGGGGTTAGGATGAGACCCACATAGGGGACAGATTACCCCACATCTGCCATAATCTATGACTCTATTGTGCTGTCCCCTTACTAGGCAGCCTGTAGGTCAGATCCATCATGGCAGTTCCTCTGTCCTGCACCTTGTACTGTCATTGACACCAGTGGAAAGAGGCTGTAAAACACAACAGGCTGATCTGGGGGCATTCTGTGCCACTTTGCTGGGTATCCGTGATTGCCCAACAAGCCGATGGAAAATCTGACCCTCGGTAGCTAATTTTTGTTGGTTTGGGAGGAAGATTTTTTTTTAATGATGTTCCACTGGTTTTTGCTCTTTGGTTTGTTTGTTTGAAAGTAATGTCACAACCTGGTAAAATTGGTCTCATCTAATCTGTCCGCAGTGCAATGTATGGGAAAAGAAGCCGTAACCCAAATCCAAGGCAAATCTCTTTAACAAGAGAATTCTGCAGAGCCAGCAGTTCTGAGGAGGATCAAGGCTCCCTCTCTGTCCAGAGTATGTTGCTTTTCAGAAACAGAAACCTTTACTATCAAATGGTAACACTCTAAAATGATTGGGGCAGCTATAAATACTGATACTGGGTCTGATTCTCCTATTGCAGGGAGAAATTCAGTCCTGTGCAGAGCCCAGCTTAAGATGTATACTCCACTTAAATCCCTGTCTAGCCAGATCCTAGCTGGTGGAAGTCAGACATAACTCCAAGGAGCAGCCATAGACTCACAGAACCACAGGGTTAGAAGGGACCACAAGGGTCACCTAGTCTAACTCCCTGCCAAGATGCAGGATTTGGTCTCAAGTTGCAGTGGGGGAGGTTTAGGTTGGATATTAGGAAAAACTTTTTCATTAGGAGGGTGGTGAAACACTGGAATGCGTTACCTAGGGAGGTGGTAGAATCTCCTTCCTTAGAAGTTTTTAAGGGCAGGCTTGACAAAGCCCTGGCTGGGATGATTTAATTGGGGATTGGTCCTGCTTTGAGCAGGGGGTTGGACTAGATGACCTTCTGAGGTCCCTTCCCACCCTGATATTCTATGATTCTATGATTTGTTGTGTCTAAACCATCCGAGATGGCTATCCAGCCTCCTTTTGAAAACCTTCAGTGAAGGCACTTCCACAACCTTCTGAGGTGTCTGCTGCTGATTTACGCCAACGGAGGATCTGGGCTTTTATAACTGAAGTGCCCCCTTCTCATATGTACTTACTACCAGGTGTAGAACTTACTGCTGTGAGCAGTCCCCTTAATTTTCAACAGGCAATACTCTATGGTTGTAAGCACAATAGTACTTGAATGACTGGACACTGGTTTTGTAGCTGTGTTATTTAATTATAGGGTTAGTTCTGGAGATACAGTTGATAGGAAAAGCTATGACAAAATGAAGTCGCAACGGTACTGTACCTATTGTGACTTTCTTTTCCTTTTCTTCTGCCACACCACAAACTAAAATCATGTTTATCCACCAGAAAATAAATAGATCTCTAAGCCCTTTCACTTGTTTTCCAGTTCCTGGGGATTGTGGTTTTAATACACCCAGAGCTGTTGCTTTGTCTTGCTGTGACATAAGGCACATCAGAAATTAGGCACAAATTTTTAACAGGGAGGGTGACTCACCATTGGAAAAACACTACCAAGGGAAGTGGTGGGTTCTTCATCTCATGAGGTCTTTATATCCAGACTGGGGAGGTGTTTTAGCAAAACACAAGTTATTGGGCTCAATATAGGGGTAAATAAACGGGTGAAATGTAATGGCCTGTGGCAGGTAGGAGGTCAGGCTAGATGATCTAATCATAGAAGGGTAGGGCTGGAAGGGATGTCAATAGGTCATAGTGCAGTCCCTGCACTCAATGCATGATGCCTTCTGGCCTTAAACTC